CAATTCTGTTGCCCACGCCTGCCAGGGCCTGCCCCTCTTCCGGCGGCCGGGCGCCTGCGCCAGCTCAGAGGATGAAGGCTGGAAGACAGCCATGCGGACAGGATGGTCGTCGGCCTTGCGTGCGATTCCCCCGAACAGGATCAACAGCCGTCGTAGCAAGAGGTCGCTGAGCTTGCCGCGTCCGGCTCGCTGCAACACCGCGGCGTCGGGGACTCGATTGACATAAGAATGCCTGATGCCGAGGATTCTCCGCAGGCACCGCGCCTGAAAAGCATTCAATCTGGCCAGTTCGTGCTGACGTCACCAAGATGTGTGGAGGCTGCACAGCAGTGTCGACTCGACGCACGCAAGGTACACGTTGATCTTTCTCTTGGTTGACATAGGAGAATGAGACCAAACACCCTGTAGATAATCGAACTCTGACCTGGCTCGGTCGATCCGCCGACCATCAAATGTCAAGGCGCTTCCCAGGTATATCATGCTCGTCTTCTGCGGGATCGGGTTGCCGTCAGGCTTAAGTATAGCATGGGCGTTGCACCCAGTGGCCATGAGCTCGAATTTCCGCCAGTTGTACTTCAAGCCAAAATGAGCTCCAGCGTCTACGATGGCCTTCATGCACCCCTCCCGTCCGCAGCGCTGGAAGCCACAATCAAGGTGTCGTCCGCGTATACCAGGTCACTGACGCCCCCGGCCAGGTCACCAAGCGCGTTCTTCGCGTCCCAGAGGAGGGCGGTCATCAAAATGGCGAATAAGAACGGCCCTGGCAGATGCCCGCCCGCTGCTCTCGCTGCTCTGACGTCCTGCCCGCATCGCGAACAGCGAAAAGCCGGTCAGAGAGATCGCCTGGACGATGTCCAGCATTTTGTTTGGTAGCCTGAATCGGCGCAGGGCTGCTATGAGAGCGTCGGGCACGACACTGTCGAAAGCCTTGGCCCAATCCAGCGCGAGGAGCACAAGCGGCTTGTCAGCCCGCGCGAATGCCTCCTCAAGTCTGCGCCTCGCAATGAAGATCGCGTCATTTGTGCCGTGCTTTGACTTGAACCCGAACTGCGTCCGCCAGATTCTGTCTTCCATCCCTGCCCTCTTCAAGCGGCGCAAGAGTATTGTTGCGAAAAGTTTGTACCTGGCCTGCAGCAAGCAGATGGGCCGGTAATTCTCGCACAGGGAAGGGTCGCCCTTCTTGAAGATGGTGATCACCAGCAACTCGTGCCAGTTTTCTGGGATGCTACCGTCTTCCCAGCTTTTCTGGCGTAGCGCGGTGGCCCAAGCTTGCGCCAGCGAGTCCGGGCGACATATCGCCTTCCAAAAATATCCAGGAATTTCGTATGATCCGCAAGCTTTTTCCTGTGTCAGCGCCTTTGCTGCCTCGACGACTTCCCAGTCTTGAACGGGCCAGACTTCCACGGGGAGCCAGGGCCCTAGCATGTTTGCCTGCATCGGCGTTGTGTCTCGCGCCGCCCACTGCACGCAGCTGAGGTGATCAGCAGTTGTATATTGACGGGAATCTGAATCAATCAGCTTGCCATGCATGTCTCGCATCCGCCCTTGCCTAGGCGCAAACCCCTTCCGCAATTTGCGAATTTCCCCTCAGTCTCCAGTGGCGAGACGACGTTCCAACCACTCTGCACTGTCTCTCTTCACAGACGCCTTCACTTGCTGATTCAACCGTCTCTCTGTGTCCGCGTTCCCGCGGTGCCTGGCATCCGTGCGTGTTTTGATGATGTCCATTGTGCGGTCAGATACCCACGGCCTCCGTGGCGTAGCCGCCTGGGCAGGGATCGCCATCGCAGCCGAAAGCCATGCCGTAACATGGCGCGGAAAATGATAACGCCAGCGCTGCAGTGGGAGCACGATTCGGGACGAGCGGAAGCGCAGAAATGAGGCCAGCGTTTCAGCGATAACAGCATTTTTTATGTAAAAAAACAAGAAACAATAACATGCGCGGAAGCGCGGACATGAGGACGCGTAGCCGGACATAGCATGGCGTGGCGACGCCCCGCAGTGGGGGGGGGGGGGTCTGCGGCCCCCCAAATCAAGGAATCGACGCCGATTGTGGAATCATTTCCGATGGTTTTGTCTTGGTATTTCCCAACCATCTTGTGGTGTTGGGTCTTCGTTTTGACAAAACGGTCCCCGCGTCTCCTCCTCCTCCTCCCGCCTCCCCTCCTCTCATCATCGTCATCATTTTCATCATCATCATCGTCATCATCGTCGTCATCCTCATATTCATCATCATCATGTCGGCACACCCCTCACGCGTTTCGTGGCCCCATAGGAGCTCCGCCGAAGGTCCCAGTGGCACAGTCCTCATGCGTCCCCGCCACTCATTTCGGCACACCCTTCACACGTTTCGTGGCCCCATAGGAGCTCCGCCGAAGGTCCCAATGGCACAGTCCGCATGCGTCCCCGCCACTCATTTCGGCACCCCGGTCACACGTTTCGTGGCCCCGTGGGAGCTCCGCCGAACGTCCCAGTGGCACAGTCCGCATGCGTCCCCGCCATTAATTCCGGCACCCCGGTCACACGTTTCGTGGCCCCATAGGAGCATAGGAGCTCCGCCGAAGGTCCCCGTGGCACAGTCCGCATGCGTCCCCGTCATTCATGTCGGCACACCCCTCACACGTTTCGTGGCCCCATAGGGAGCTCCGCCGAAGGTCCCCGTGGCACAGACCGCATGCGCCCCCGCCGCTCATTTCGGGGCGACCAGCGCGCGTCGCAGGAACTCCGTGTTGCGTTCTGCCCAGCGCCTCGTTCGCCCGTCGTCGTTCTGCCCAGCGGAAAGAGCCTTGCCCGCTATCAGCCAGCCAGCTACTTTTCCTTGCTCCGCGCAGCGGACGACCCGCGCGCGTCGCTGGGACCCCTCCTGGGCGACCAGCGCGCGTCGCGGGGATTCCGTGCTGCGTTCTGCCCAGCGCCTCGCTCGCCCGTCGTCGCTCTGCCCAGCGGCAAAAGCTTTGCCCGCTATCAGCCAGCCAGCTACTTCTCGGAGCAAGGAAAAGTCTTCTCCTTGCTCCGCGCAGCGGACGGCCCGCGCGCATCGCTGGGACCCCTGTGGGGCGACTTGCGCGCGTCGCGGGGGCTCCGCGCTGCGCTGCGCCCGCAGCCTTGGACTTTGAAGTGCGCGGGCAACGAGGGAGTAACAAAAAGGGGAGGAAACGGGCGCGATCCTCGCGGGGGGGCGCGCCGACATTGGCGTCGCGGCGCGCGGGCGATGCCGTCGGGGAGTTTCGGGGAAGCTCCTTGCGGCGGCCACGCCCAGCGTTACGAGTACTCAGAGGCAGCCATTTTCAAATTGTTGACATTCATACACAATTACACCATGCTTTGCCATACTCGCATTCATGCACGTAGACTCGCTCGCACGCAGATTCGTTCACAGTCAGACGCGCTCGCGCTCATATTCGCCCGCGCTCAGTCTCCCTACGTACTCAGATCAATCGTTGTCGTTCGCGTTGTGTACCACGCCACTCATTTCGGCACACCCCTAGCACGGTTCGTTGCTTCATAGGGGTCACCACCGAAAAAGTGAATTACAATTGCGGTACTCTGGGTCCTTCGTCGGGCTATTTTTTTGTGTTTTAGATTTTTGGGGCCTATTTGGAAGGGCCGAAAACCATGCCGTGGCATGGCACGGGAAGCGATGACGCCAGCGCTGCAGTGGGAACATGATTCGGGACGAGCGGAAGCGAAGGAATGAGGCCAGCGCTGCAGTGGGAACACGATTCGGATGGAGCGGTAGCCCGAAAATAACGCCAGCGCTTCAGCGAGAACAGCAGTTTGAAACAACCCAAGCGAAAACCCAGTTCCCAGGAATCCTGTGCTTACAAAAAACCGTACGCGGAGGGGGGGCGATTATTTCCCGGACGTCACGAGGGGAGAGAGGAGAGTAGTATCCATATTGTGTAACTGTGGAGGACTAGCTGGACGAGTGGGAAGAAGAGGACGAGGAGGAGGAGGAGGAGCAGGAGGAACAGGAGGAGGAGGAGGAGCAGGAGGAGGAGGAGGAACTGGGGGAGGAGGGGGGGAAGAGGGAGGAGGAGGAGGCGGAGGAGGAAGAGGAGGAGGTGGTGGAGGAGGAGGAGGAGGAGGAGACGGAACGGCAGCAGCTCGAGGAGAGATGGGCCACGAGGAAAGGAGGACTATGCTGATGAAGATGCGGAGGAGCACAGTCATGATGCCGATTCTCTTGATGAGGAAGAGGAAGATCAGATTGAAGAGGATGATGAACAGGATCGGGGGGGAGGAAACGGGTGGACGAACACGTCGAGGATAAAAGCGGAGGATGATGCAGGTGTGAACAAGCGGAGTATGAAGACGAACAATGCATCATCATTGGAAGTCTTCTTTCTCTCCCTACCTCCTGCTTATGTTCTCTTCCCCCCTCTTGCTAGTTTGTGTCACTTTCTCATGTCCATACTTCTTATTTGTTTGCTGGCCATCTTGACCGTCATCGTCCTCCCCTCTATTCTATGTTTCTCGTCTTGCTTATCGTCCTCACCCCTCGCTTCCCTTCACCCTCTCTGGAACCTCAGGGTTTCTGTCACGCAGTTAGCGCGCTACTCCTAGAGATAGGTTCTGCATGCCATGTAGGGCCCAGGCCAGGGCCTCTGGTGGCAAACCGGCGTGGCGGTGGCCCCTCCAAGTCCAATAATCTCACGCTCGCCAGCGTCCGAAGATGTAGGGTAGAGAAGGGCAACACACACACACAAGCACAGCGCCATAGGCGCCAGGCAAAGCTTTGGACACGGCTTCGCTCATGGGACTCTCACAGAGGCCCCCGGGGTGTTTGGGCGTCGAGCGGCCAACACTTCTCCAGAGACTGCGTGGGAACTCTGGAGCAGTCAGCGGTCCCGAGTGTCGGATGGAGTGGTGGGCATGGTAGCGCAGTCTCCTTCAGCAGACCTGGGTGCTGGACCAATGACGCGAACACCCTGGAGAGGAGGACTGCGAATGTTCCTGCGCCGCACGCTGTCACCTTGCCTCCTCCCCCGCTGCAGCAGGAAGTGCCGCCTACTCGTTGAGCACCGCGCTGATGTACAGGCCCAGCTGCGTTGTCTTCATGGGTAGGACTGTCATGCTGACGGTCGCGAGGGTACTGCTTGCCCCCCAGCGGTTGTCATTGCTACCGCCGCTGTCGGCTTCATGGCGCGGCTCTCTTGTCCGTAACCGTTTTCTGGTCCCTGCCATCCGGGCACTCGGCGTGGCGACCCGTCATGCTGTGGTTGCTTGGAGGCTTCTCGAGGGCCTTTCGAGGCCTCTCGGGGTTTCTGTGGAGCACTCTTGCTCTGTCCGGCGCCTTCGATTGCCGTCTCTGGCGTCTCTCTGGGCCGTCTTGGGGCTTCCTTCGAGCACAGTGTTTAAAGTCTCTTGGGCTGCATTTGGGCCCTGTTGGGGCCGTCTGGGGGGCCTTTCAGGCTATAAGGGGGCAGTCCTGTGGTACTCTTGTGTGCCCCTTGGGCCGTCTTGAGGCCATCTTGGAGGCTTCTTGCGGCCATGGCGGCCGTTTTGGAGGCTATCTTGGATAGTCGTGGAGGCCGTGTGGATCCATTTTGTCAGACTCGGAGGCCATCTTGACCTTGGAGGCCCTCTTGGAGCCGCCACGGGGGCGAAGGGGGTGAAGGGGGGTAGATTTTGTGACAAATGACAGCATGTTCGGATGGATGCGTCGGGATGCTTTAATAATTGCTTCGCAGGGGGCACCAATAACGCAACAAGTAAGGGCCCGGCGCGCACCGACCACCGCAAGCATGGCAGCAGATCTATCCAAGACGACCATGGCGAATTTCTGTCCCCCCCTGCCTTTTGGGAGCGCTCACGCGGCCAAACTATGTGTCGACGTCTGGCCGCGCTGGTGGACTATGATTTGACCCAGCCGTTCTGTAACCCTTGGGTCAGGGAGAGGAGGGGGAGGGTGCACCTCCCCGAAGGGAAAAGGATTATGGAAGAAAAGATATCGTCAGACCACCTTCGTCCGAAGGGCTGGTGGGGCTCCTGGGACTTTGACCATGCGAATATTTGAAACTGGTGCAGACTTCAAAACGAATGTGCACGGCGCTGGGACAAGAGCCACAGTTTGAAAATGACCCGCCCGACCAGATCGCTTCGGGGTGTGACAAGGAGGATTTCTTCATGTGGGAAGCAGGTTTTGGGATGAGAAGGAGGATGATGGTGATGAGGATGATGGTGATTGATGTTGTTGAGTTCTCACTACTGAAGAACAATTATTGTTGATCCCCCCCTCCGGTGCACTTTGTAGTTCACAACCATCCTGTGGTCCTCGTTTTGAAGAGACGTCGCCCCGCGTTCCTCCTCCTCGCCTCTCCTCTCCTCTCCTCTCCTCTCCTCTCTCTCTCTCCTCTCCTCTCCTCTCTCCTCTCCTCTCCTCTCCCTCCTCTCCTCTCCTCTCCTTTCCTCCTCCCCCTCCTCCCTCCTCCTCCCTCCTCCCTCTCTTCCCTGCATTTCACCCACCCAGTACAGCGTTTCGTAGCCCCATAGGGGGCTCCACCGAAGGCCCCAGTGCCACCGTCCACATGCGTCCCCCCCACTCAGTACAGCGTTTCGTGGCCCCATAGGGAGCTCCACCGAAGGCCCCAGTGCCACCGTCCACATGCGTCCCCCCCACTCAGTACAGCGTTTCGTGGCCCCATAGGGAGCTCCACCGAAGGCCCCAGTGCCACCGTCCACATGCGTCCCCCCACTCAGTACAGCGTTTCGTGGCCCCATAGGGAGCTCCACCGAAGGCCCCAGTGCCACCGTCCACATGCGTCCCCCCCACTCAGTACAGCGTTTCGTGGCCCCATAGGGAGCTCCACTGAAGGCCCCAGTGCCACCGTCCACACGCGTCCCCCCCACTCAGTACAACGCTTCGTGGCCCCACACGGAGCTCCACCGAAGGCCCCAGTGCCACCGTCCACATGCGTCCCCCCACCCCGTACAGCGTTTCGTGGCCCCATAGGGAGCCCCACCGAAGGTCACAGTGCTACCGTCCACATGCGTCCCCCCGCTCAGTACAGCGTTTCGTGGCCACATAGGGAGCTCCACCGAAGCCCCCAGTGGAACCGTCCGAGTGCGTCCTGAGACACCCAATGTGGTATTTCATTCACCCATTACAGCGTTTCGTGGCCCCACAGGGAGCTCCACCGAAGGCCCCAGTGCCACCGTCCGCATGCGTCCCGCACACCCAATGTGGCATTTTCACCCACCTAGTGCAGCGTTTCGTGGCCCCACAGGGAGCTCCACCGAAGGCCCCAGTGGGACCGTCCGCAAGCGTCCCGAAACACCCATTGTGGCATTTCCACACATCTTCCTCCTCTCCCTCTCCCTCTCCCTCATATTCTCTTCCCTCCTCGTCCTCTGCCTCGTCCGATATGCGGGGCATGCGCATGGCGATTGCGATGACGATGTGCCGTCCGAGTTGTGGGTGTCGAAGTTCCTCGGGGGAGGTGGTGGCAATGCTTTCTTGGGCGGGAAATCTGGGCGAGGGAACATTGGGCCCCGCGTGCCAGAAAACAAACACCCATGGCGGGGTGCGGTATCCAGACGGGTGCGCTCGACATGTGGAAGCGTGGCGCATGATGGTAAACTGCTTGTTGTTGTTGTTGTTGTTGCTGTTGCTGTTGCTGTTGCTGTTGCTGTTGCTGTTGTTGTTGTTGTTGTTGTTGTTGTTGTTGTTGTTGTTGCTGTTGTTGTTGTTGTTGTTGTTGTTGTTGTTGTTGTTGTTGTCGTTATGATTCGTGTGTTTGTCATTGTCCATGATGTTGTTCATGCTGTTCAGGTTGGTGATGATGATGTTGAGGATGATGTTGCTGATGATGAGGGTGTTGTGGATGAGGATGATGATGAGACTATGAGGAGCAAGGGGGAGGGGGAGGGGGAGGATGTAGGCTGAGGTTTGAAGCCCGTACATGGCGATGTGCGCGCCCGATTCGGGGGAGTGTCCTAGTCATATGAACTCGGTCATGCATATTTCGCCTTGGTGAATCTTCGTCCCCACATCCGTGGGCTTCACCGCAGGGGTGCGATTGCACGTGTGCTCTTTCTCTACTCCTGTTCACGCATCATCTCACCTGCTCCTGACGGCGATGATGCCCCGTGCACGCGTAACGTTGTTAGGCCATGTGCACCGAGACCCACACCGTGCTACAGTGGGCCAGGGAGCGGATCAACCCGAAGTTCGCAGCGTTCCTCGAGGTGCTGCGATTGCGCATTGCCAGCCGAGAGCCAGACGGGAGGGGGTGGGGGAAATCCAATGTGTGCTCCTGTGTTCACTTGTTGCAATGGTTGACCCAAACGGTGTCTTAGTGAGCAAGCGCCGCTTATCAATTTACTCGAAACGGCGCCTCTTAAGACCACCGCTATGATCAGTGTTGGCATATCCCCCAAACAGTGATTACATCATGAGGCTAGTACTTGGGCTGTAAGGAGCTGGTCCTGTGTCACAGGTCGTGGGTGCTAGGCCTCCTATGGGCCCCTGTGGGTTTGCCTCCTTTGCCTCAGGGCTTCCTTCCTCAGTGGTCATGAGTCTTGGAGCTGGGCCGTGGCTGGTTGGCCTCCTGTGGCTTGGCCCCTCATGCCATCCCTGGTGGCTGCCTGGCTTCTCTGAGTCTTCGAGATGAGACCATCCCCGCTTCCTGCGCCAGCTGCACCAAGTAGTATCCTCCATGCACCATGCAGTTTCCACCACATTTTACCATGTAGGTTTTATCAATGCGTTATCAAGGGGTCATCGGATGATTCTGGGCAGAGTCCCAAACGGAAAGTGTCGCCATCTCCATTATCGTTCCTTCCTTCCCGCTCTCCGTCCTCTCGCATTGCCTCTTCCCCTTTTCATTCTCCGCAAAGAAGGGGGGGACGATGAGCACTCGTCGCACCTGCAAGATTCCCAGTCGTCCCTCACAGGAACGAGGGCCGCTAGATGTTTTGAAACTCCGTCCGAGACCCGAACAACCTCAAGGAGGCAAAGAGAAAATACCCCGCACCGAAAGTAAAAAAGGGCATTGGAAAAAAGGGAAGAGAAACATCGTTAGACCGCCTGCGCCCAGAAGGGCTGCGGGAACTCCTGGAACGTATCCTGTGCCAATCGCACCATGACGCCATTTTCGTCCCAGCTTTCCCAGCTCCCGCGCCATATTGTTGATGCTGAGCTACACAGTCATTGCCTCGCTATCCTGGGGTTTTGCTTTGTCCTTGCTCGCCAATTCAGTTGACACATGTGCGGAGCTGCAGTCACTGCCACGCTTTCTTGTGGCTTTGCTCTGCTCCTGCTCTGAAAGCGCACCGCTCGAGGCGGCGGACAGCTTGAACGATCTATCCATTCAAATGCTCCCGCGCCCAGGCGTTGCAGCGTGGCGATTCGCGGGCCACCTCCGAGGAGGTCACGCTGGGCGGGGCCCCCCCCGAGGAGTTCTGAGCCGGCGGGGGCAGCCCTGTGGCGGACGGGCCAGGGGGCCGCGAGGCGGCGAGCCAGATTGGCATTCTCGCCATCCTCGGCACCCTGCTCCCCCTTCCCCTTCCCCGCCCTGTCCCTCCGCCCTCCCCTCCCTGTCCCTTCCCTCCCCCTCCCCTTCCCCCGGGTCCGCCAGCATGGTTCCCCTCCCCTGCCTCTCCTCGCCTCTGGAGGAAAAGCCCGCGGCCGCGAGCAAGCAGGCAGCGCGGCGTTCTCGAGAAGTCTCCCCCCCTTCTCCTCTCCCAGTCCCCGCCCCCCCGTTCCCCCCCCCCTTCCCTCCTCCCTTTCCGCCTCCCCGTCCTCCATCCTCCACCCCCCCCCTTGCCCTCCACCTCCCCGACCATCGGACGCGGCTAGGACGAGGAAAAGTCCGTTCCAGAGCGTTCTGGAACGCTCTCAGAGTGTTCCGGAACGCTCTGAGAAGGCCACGGCGCCAGATGCATCTGCCAGAACCGCCGGTCTCAGAGATTCTCGATCTATTCGTGCCTGATTGCGAAGGCCTTACGCACGGTGTGCCGCCGACCCTAAAGGGGGACGACAACGACGACAACGGCGGCGGCGGTGGCGGCGACGACGACGACGACGACGACGACGCTGACGTTGGCCAGAGCCCTCAGGGATGCTTCTTGGGGTCTCTTCGGAAGGATCTCGGAGGCCTCAGGGGGGGAATTTTTGGGCATCTTTGGAGCCTCCTGGGTGCTTGTTAAGAGCCTTTTGGGGGCCTCTTCGGGCTTCCTGGGGACCTTTTGTGAGCACCTTGGGGCTATTTGGGAACCTCTTGCCTCTCGGGGCCGAGGGTTCCAAATGCCCGTTCGGCTCCCCGGTCTGGGCACGCTCTTGAAGCAGTCTTGGAGGCCTCTTGGGCCGTCTTGGAGGCGTTTTGACTCTGAAGGCGGAAGGGCAAAGGCGAGACGTATCGAGCGTTTGTCCGCGGACATTTTGGCCCAGTGCCCGGCCACCTATCTGACCGGGCCGCACCGCGGCCCGCTACCTTACATCGAGTCAGCAAAGGTTCCACCCTTACTCTTGAGATGTATCATGGCCGCTCACGCGGCTCCTTCCTGCTTCTGGGACTATCGTTGATGTGGTACAACATGGTACAACAGAGTTGGGCGTATAATTCGCCTTAGGCGAAGCATCTGGTTGGGCCTCCCGACCAGCTTTAAACTTGGTAGTGGAACTGGCCGTTGGTGGTCAGCTCTAGCTCTAGTCTTTGCTACATCCGGCAGTATCTGGTGGTCTACCGACATGGTGGGACATCCGGGTGAAGTGTCTCTACGTGGTGGAGCTCTATACCGCCGCAAGGACACTTGCACTGCTGCCTTTGTTCACGCAGGGGTCTCTTACCTGAGCCCTACATCTCTGCGCTAGTACACTCCTGAAAACCACCCACCTACGCCAATTGGCAAATTCTTCGTAGATGCTATGCATCGCAACGTGCGATATGACATCGTGCCGCCTGCACCTCCTCGTAAATTGACGGCAGCGTCACCTCGTAACCAACAGGCACGCACAACCGACACTGGCCTACGGGGCCACTGGAGTGGCATTGCTGTCTTTGGCCTGCTCTGGGTCGCCATCGGATGCGCTGTTCGACATGTTCAGCGTGGTGCAAACGACACGCGTGCTACCGGCCCTCACTGGGATCCTGCTGGTAACGTACCTTTCCGCGAGTTTTTTCGCGAGGTACATGCTTGGTTCAAAGAGGCCACAGGCACTATGACCCCCTTCTAACAGGCCGCCGCTTTACAGCGTGGCCTTGGAGATCTCGCAAGGACCGTAGCCATGAGAGTTCCCCCCGCCCCCGCAGTAATCAACTTTGGAATGACAATTGGTGTGCGCCACACCGATGGCGTCACCTACGTAACGTTCCTCCTTAGCACTAAGTTTGAAGACCTGGAAGAGGAACGACAACTTAATCCGGGGACGACCCTCATTGACTTTCGCGCCCATGCGGGAGAACGGATCGACCAGGCGCTGGCGAAGCTGACGCCGCGGTGTTCAACATCCCAAACTTCCAGATCCTGACATTTATATTGTTCAGGGCCCTAGGTGTCGGTACGTCGCGCGCGCAGCAATTACTGCAACCACTGAACCACCAAACGCCAAGGACTCAGCAACAGTTCGATTCCTTACTGGAGCGCATGAGGGCTTGCGCCCATATTGCTGAGCGAACCCCGGCAGCATCGGTGTTGTATTTAGCCGCGGCCACCGCGCTGATGTCTTTCATAGTGGCACTCATGCGGGGCAACCTGCCAGCGCCGTCTGGAATGGCGTTCCACGACCAAACGAGGCCACCACTCGATTAAGCCAGCAAGGTGGCCAGCCCATGGGGTCGCATAATTCCTGGGCCCGATATCAGGGACCGTCGGCAACGGCGGTCCCTACCCAGGCCGCTGCCCTTACCAGGAAGCAGCGAACTTGCCTTAAGAAGATCGCATGTCAAGCGATGGCGCCAACGGCCGAGGTCGATCTGGATAGCGACCCCGGCTACCGTCGCCTGAACGGCGATGCCGATGACGAGGTCAAAGGCTATGGTATTCGCGGGGCAACTTTGCTAAGGCGTGGACACGCATGCTGGTGCGCCCGTCGTCCATCTTGTTGACGCGTCCCGCAAGTCTCACCGCTTGCAAGTCCGCTCGGGCTACTCAGCTGAAGCACTGACAACGCCCGCAACTTGGAGGACTGCTGTCCCACGATTGTCACGCCACACGAACTCCACGCAGGGCCGCTGACACCCACTCAACCGAAGGATCTACTTGAGTTGGGCGGCCTGAGCATGATGGTCAATTTGATCATTCATGCAGAATCCGTATTCATGTCCTTGTCAAGCAAAGACCTGAAGAAGCCGACTTGATGTATATTTGTGGGTCACATCAGTTGAATACAGCAAGTGATAGAGCGCGGCGTCGTGCATTGTGCAGTGGCGTGACACTCGCGATGTGACCGCGACTGGTCACGCCAAGGGGAGCATCGACATATACATGCTCTTGCAAGTCATGGAAGGAGTACAACCCTTCAAGCGCGACTTGAAACAACGCGCGTCCTACAGGGCGGGCCAGACGGGGCCATCTGAGCCGCCTGAGGATTGGCGTGCTGCGGGGTAACCTGCTTAGGTTGAGCCCGCCGGCCGCCGCCTTTCTTGCGCAATAGACTTATTGTGCCCCCCCGACTCTGAAGGAGGAAGGACACATTCAAAATGTATCGAGCGTTTGTCCGCGGCTATTTTGGCCCAGTGACCGGCCGCCTATCTGACCGGGCCGCACCGCGGCCCGCTACCTTACATCGAGACAGGAAAGGTTCCACCCTTTATTCTTGAGGTGTATCATGGCCGCTCGCGCGGCTCCTTCCTGCTTCTGGGACTATCGTTGATACGGTACAACAGAGTTGGGCGTATGCTTCGCCTCAGGCGAAGCATCTGGTTGGGCCCCCCCCACCAGCTTTAAACTTTTTGGGCTGTCATGGGATCCTCTTGAAATGTTTTTGGGGCCCCCTTGTAGGCCTCTTGGGCCGTCCTTGGGCGATCTTGGGGGCCTTTTGGGCCGTCTTGCAACGGCGGGAAGTGGAAAAGATGAGAACGCCCAACTCCCCCAAAACAGCCGAAGGGAAATACATGATTTTTGCCTTCTGGGGCCCTCTCATAAGTGCTCTTGGAGGCAACTGGGGCATCTTGGAAACCTCTTGGGAAGTCTGGAGGGCGTGAAGGCGTTTTGGACCAATCGTTTGGCGATTAGGGGCCCTCTTGGATCGTTTCGGGGGCCTCTTGGGGCACTTTTGGCCTGTTTTGGTGCTCTGTGAGGCCCCAGGACCCCCCGGGGGGGGATGCGAATCTGATCGCCCCCCCCCCCCGGGGACGACCCCCCCCTCGGGACGCACCCCCCCGACGGGGGAGGGATCAGAGGGAAGGGGCTCCCCTTCGACAAGATTACGACATTGCTAGAATTGCCTCTCGCTGACAGGCTTGAGGAGGAGGGTGCAGGGAAATGGGGCGACAGAGAAGACGACTGACGGAGACGACGACTCGGACAGACAAACCCCTCACACACGCCAACAGGGTCGGCGGATTCAATCCTCGTCCTGGCTTCGTCTTAGACCACTGCCGCCCCCCCCGTCCCCCGACACTCGTTTCCCTGTCTCCTCCGCCGCCCTCCTCCCCGCTCCTGCCTGGCCGCAGGGGGGCTTCTGGGCGCCCGCGCGGTAGTAATCTCCCCGGGAGCGCCGCCTTTGCTCGCCAGGGCCTCCTGCCTCGGCGTGCATCAGTGCAGGGTCGGGAGGCCCAGATTGGGTGGACGATGGGCGTCCGCCAGGGCCTCGGGATGGGAGGGGGGGAGGGAGAGGGGAGAGAAAGAGGGGAGGAGGGGAGCGGAGTGGAGGGGGGGGAGGGAGGGGGGAGAGGGGGGGATAGGGGGAGGGAGGTGGGAGAGAAAGAAGTGACGCGGGGGGGTCGTTTCGTGTCGTCGTGCTCTCTCTCTCTCTCTCTCTCTCTCTCTCCCTCCTCGCCGCTTGCGTTGCTGCCGTGGATGGTGCCGTCCGCACACTGCACAGAGAGCGCTTGGATCACGACGTCTGGAGTTATGCAGATAATATGGTCAGATCTGTGGTGGTCTCCTTCAATGCTTCTTCATACCACCAGAACAGAAAACAGGAAGTGGCAAGCTAAATGCGTTCGCGCCATATCCGACATCCTATCCTTCCCACCCATCCCTTCCCACTGCGGTGATTTTTCTCAATGCGCAGTCGAGTGTCACAGCGGACCTGGAACCCTCCAGAAGACACCGTCGTGTTCTGCGCAATCAGAGACAGAGACCTCTGTACATTGGAGGAGAAGGAGGTGGCGGATGAGCAGGAGGAAGAAGAGGAAGATGTGGACGAGGAAGGAGGAGGACCATGGGAAGGCGGAGGAGGGGAAAGGAGTGTGGCGGCAACGATGAGGGACGACCTCGCAGCCACAGAAGTGGCCCGCGACAGGGCAAGAGCGCCATTTTGAGCGATGGCGGCAGCACCACTATGAAACACCAAGAGCGTTCTGATTGAAAGCGCCGAAGGGAAGACCAAACACCGACGTCTTGGGCGTAAACACAGTGCACGGAGAGAGCGGGATTTTCTCACGACGTAGCCGGAGGAGAGGACTGTATTATATTGAGTATTTGTGGAGGAGGAAGAGGAGGAAGAGGAGGAGGAGGAAGAAGGAGAGCGGCGGAACCGTCCTGTTCCTCTCGGCCCTGTTCCGCGTAACGCTTGTCCCATGATCCGCCTGGCCCATGATCCACCTGGCCCTGTTCCGCCCAGCCCTGTT